GCCCCTTTAAGGGGTCCGGGGCCGGGAGGGGGGCAATAGAGTTTCCCTGGTGTTGGCCAGAGTGGCCACCAGGGAAAGCTGGGGAGGGCTAGCCTCCCACTAGTTCGAATTAAGGGGCTACACACCCCTTAATTCGAACTAGTAAGTTCGAACTAGGCTTGGTCCTCGTACAATGAGGTTTACCTAGTTCGAACTAAGTGCTCCGCTAGTTCGAATTAAGTTCGAACTAGCGGAGCGCTCGTGTAGCGCCTATCAGAGTTAATTTGAACTAACGTCCGTTAGTTCGAATTAACTTTGTAGTGTAGACATACCCTTTCTCAGCATGTAACATTGGCCACATGCAACTGGTCTCCAATGCAGTGACAAACCTGTTTTGGCTGAGACTGACCAGTATTCAGCCTGCATTTCATTGGCAAAGCGAATGGCATCCAGTTCAGTCCTCTCACATGCAGCACCTGACTGAATAAAACAGTGGGGAATCACTGTCAGTAGCAAAAAGCAGGCCCAACATTGCTAGAGTATATCTGGAGTAACAGTAATGCAAACATGCTACCAGTCCCAATACTCTGAGACTTCCAGCTTTCACAGTGGGCAGCTCTTCCTTTTCCTGACCTTGCCCTGTAGCTTATACACCAGGATGTTCCATGCACCAAGTGAAACTAGTCAAAGAAAACAGCTAGATAGATATTACCTAGTGGAATTTACAGAGGACTTATTTTAAAATATAATTCTGCCTCTGTATTTCAGCAGTGAAGCATCAGATAGCAGACATGAGCACAATAAGAATAGAGTAGTCTAGAGAGCTATCAAATGTTGCCTTCCTTTGTTTATTGTTTGTATTGCCGGAGCAGTGAGAAAACCTGCTCATGGACCAGGATCTGATTATGTTAGATGTTGTATGAAGACAGTGCTAAGCAGATGATCTCTAAATAATTCTAGCAGTGAATTATAGGAGCCACCCACAATAGGGCAGTAGTAACTGTGATGGTCCACTCTTCTTGCTCTTTCTCCTCCACATGGAGGATGCGTGAGAGCCTGGCTTGGGGAGGCAAACACAGCCTTGCCGCTTCTATGCCCACAACAGTACTCAGCCCCCATTGCGGCTGCTGGCACCTGCCCTGCACCGTAGGCCCCTCTATTATGGTTGCGGGCCCCCTACCCAAAGCTAGTGCATCCCCCAGTGTCAGGCACCTGTACAAAATCAGCTCCCACCTCCTGGCTTCCAAAGCACTGAGTAGCACTAGCTTTTTCCCATTCCCCTGCTTTAGCCCTGGGAGCAACCGGGCAGCCACACTGCAGCCCCGCCCCCTGCTCTGGGAGCAGCCAGGCAGCTCCAATCCCACAGACAGAGACAAACGCTTACAAGATCTTTATCCAGCATTCTGAAAACTTAAATACCCTTCTGAGAAAGTGAGGAAATCCATGGACAGAGGCAGGCAAGTAGCCAGAAGTCACCTACTTCAAGATAGGCCCAACGAGGCAAATGACAGAACACCAGAACTCGTCATCACCTGTTGCCCCCAGCTGAAACCCCTCTAGCACATCACTGAGAATCTAGAACCTATTCTGGAAAACGATCCCTCACTCTCACATGCCCCTCTGCCATGTACGTTGGCCAATCTGAACAATCTCTGTGCCAAAAGATAAATGGACACAAGCGAGATATCAGGAATGGTAACACACAAACCTGTAAGGAAACATTTTAACCACCCTGGACATTCAGTAATGAATTTAAAAGTATCCATCCTTCTACAAAATACTTTTATCATCTACTTACAGAGGGAGATAGTTGAACTGGAGTTCATCTACAAGTTCAATACTATCAACTTAGGCTTGAATAAAGATCTTAACTGGTTAATGCAGACAAAGGTAATTTCCCTACTTTTGATATTCACATTTCCACATCAAATGCTGTGAATGAGAAACATCCACCCTGACTTAATTATTTTGATTAACACCAGTCCTACATCAGAGGGGTAGCCGTGTTAGTCTGAATCTGCAAAAGCGACGAGGAGTCCTGTGGCACCTTATAGACTAACTGAAGTGTAGGAGCATAAGCTTTTGTGGGCAAAGACCCACTTCGTCAGATGCAAGATGCATCTGACGAAGGAAATGGGTCTTTGCCCACAGAAACTTATGCTCCTACACTTCAGTTAGTCTATAAGGTGCCACAGGACTCCTCGTCGCTTTTGCAGATTCAGACTAACACGGCTACCCCTCTGATACTTTATTTTACCAGCACTACAATTGACCAATAACTGCTTTTGCTGTTATATATACCTGGATTCTGTAATTTCCACCCAACTCATCTGATGAAGTGGGTTTTACCCACAAAAGCTCATGACCTAATAAACTGGTTAGTTTCTAATGTGCCACATGATTTTATAGTGCTATTTTTCCAAAATCTGCAGAATTTTGCCAAAATTTCAAAATAGGATATACGTATGCCCAAATTTTTAAATTTTTTTAGTGAATCATACCCCCAGGAGTAGCATAATCAGCGAGAGGGGCCAGTTCCCCATTACCACTGGCTCCCTGCATTAAGAACTTCTCACTGCTTCAGTCACTGTTCGCTGGCTGACAGTTGCCCAAAGCACATCTGGAAGAGTGACAGATGATCAGTAAGCATCTCAAAAATATTTATAGGTGGGAAGTGTAATAATCAGTCTATTCTACCTGCTGGCATCTTTCCAGTTTTAATCCAATCTTCTCTCGCCACAGAAGGCAAAGTCCCACATTCCTCCAAACAGAATTCCTTCTTACATCCAGTCCAACCTGAGCCCAGCTCATGTGTCCCCAGACCTCTCAACCCTGTTTAATGTTTTGTGCCACCTACAATAGCCCTGATAAATGCCAGAAGATTTAAGAGCTTCTCCTGTTGTCACTGAGAAGAGCAAAGCCTTGTGGGGTGCATTAGCACTTCTTTGGAAAACCAAGGAACAGATGGAAAAAGGATCTCTAGGGATATGAATAGCACCGCAGGCAGCAGCTGAAAGGAAACATAGCTAAACAGTAAGAAAAAGTGTTGACTTTCAGACCTTTCAACTTTGGCAAGATGTTGGCTAATGAAGGAGATAACCTCAGGTCTGAAGGGGCGAGTTGCTCCCTCTGCCTTTTGCAAATGACCCCTTCAGAGAAGCAGAATATGGGGACATACTGAGCTTTTGAACCTGTTGTCTACATAGCACTCCTTGGCGGTATTTCCGTGGCTTTGCTGTTTGCGAGTTCAGGTGTGCTTGGTTAAGCTGTGCCTCCAACAGAACAGGGAGTGTGTTGGTGACCTCCAGCACTCCAGAAATTGCTCACTCTGCTCCATTCTCTGAAACTCACCACTCTAGATCCACATGACCTCTCTTTGCCTTGGTAGTTGTACAATTTGTTTCTCAAGATCTTCACAGCAGCTGCCACATGCTGTTGGGACTCAACACCTAGACTTAACTTCAAATGGAAATTCACTGGAAGGCGGGAGGGGAGGGGCAAGACACATTTTATGAACTGCCTTTCTCCTACTTACCACTAAATCTTTCTTTGTTCCAACCAGAAAGATGAAGCTGGACCCAGGCTCATTTTCTCTCAACGCATCCTCTAACCACTGCCTGAAATGCAGAACGGGAGGAATGAGATGTAATTAGGGAGGGCAAAAAGTGGGCAAAGAGGAGTAAAAGAAATGGAGGTATATAGTGGAAAGGGAAAGAAACAAAGAAACCAACAACAAGGAGAATGAGAGAAGACATGTTGCTGATGTGTCATGTGCCTTTCCCACTAGAGAATAAATGGTTTGGAAGCTATTCCAGCTCCTCTGGGTACATGCTTACCATTCTGTGAAAGTAGTTCCGGGTTCAGCCAAACCTGCCCACTTTAGAATCTAAGTCCAATAGAGATCAAAGCCCCTAGAGAAGGAAAGCAAAAGTGCCATACTATTCACAGCCAGGGATAGGGACAAAGCAAAGGAGACACTGCACAGAGATGAGGCATAAGATGCAAGAACAGGAAGGCTGTGTCTACACTGGCCCTTTCTTCGGAATAGCCATGCTAATTTAGAACTTTGGAATAGGGAAATGCGCGGGGGATTTAAATATCCCCCGCGGGATTTAAATAAACATGGCCGCCGCTTTTTTTCCGGCTTGGGGAAAAGCCGGAAAAGAGCGTCCTACTTTCAAGTAGGAATAAGAGATCCTCCGGAATAGGGCTTTATTCCGGAGGATCGCGCCAGTCTGGACGCTCTTTTCCGGCTTTTCCCCAAGCCGGAAAAAAAGCGGCGGCCATGTTTATTTAAATCCCGCGGGGGATATTTAAATCCCCCGCGCATTTCCCTATTCCAAAGTTCTAAATTAGCATGCTATTCCGAAGAAGGGGCCAGTGTAGACACAGCCGAAGAGTATGAGAAGCACAAGTAGAATGAAAAAGATGAATGATGAAGCAAAGAGAGTGAAGGAAAACAAGAGACACTTCCACTGGTGCAAGAATCTACTTAGCCCCCTAATGGAAGAGATCATGATGAGGATATGCCTGGTTCTTATCTCACATCAGTTTTATACCTTTGAAATGCCATTGACTTTGGTGGAGTTATTTCTGAGTTCCACCAAGGTTAGTGAAAGAAAAATTAGCCCCATAGACTTTAACCTTCTATCAAGAAGAGACACCATTTAATAAAATTATATTTGTACGCTCTGCAGACACGGCACTGCAGATGATTGATCTGTGCAAGATAATCTCTCCAGAATCCAATTCCCTCCCCTCTACAACACACAGTCTGCTTTAAGTGTATGCACTAAAACCTTTTTACCATGATCATTGTTACAGATAGCCCTGGAGTAAGAAAATGCTATTTGGTAAGTAGAGTGCCTAGGAAATTAATAACATTTGAGATAGTAAATTATTCAAACACATTGTCTAAATCCACCCTTTATCCTTCTGGTTTGGAAAGATCTCTGCACACCAATTTCAGGCCCGGTGAATCTTAATTCCTAGTTCAGTTTTATACTGGAGACCTTCTACTATAATCTCAAAGACATGGCCAGAAACTTACTTTGTGTGATCCAAAGTCTGGATATCAGCCAAATCAAACACTGTTATAATAACTGCAATAAAAACAGCACAGAAAAATGATTAAATGAGACAGTAGTTTAGAAATCTTATGGGTACAACTCAGTGCCTGAAGTATACAGTGAAAGAACAATTCATTTGATCTTGACTGTAAAGTGCTTTCTGACTTACTCACCCTCTGCTCCTCTGTAATAAGCAGATGCAATGCACTTGAACTTTTCCTGACCTGCAGTATCCCATCTGTGCAGGAGGAAAAGAGACTTTTTTCAGGTCAATCAAACCCAGTGCAACCTGAGCAAACACACTAATGAAGCAACAGACTGGTACAGGTTGGGAAAGAATGTGATACCAGAGCAATGTTACCATCTGGAATATGTTACCCATTAAGCACTGAAAGATATCCTGTAAAGCACCATTATTTTAATGAAGGCATTTTAACCCTGCATTAGCCCAAAGTTCAGTGGCCAAAACACTCTCCTGAGTCCCTGTTCAAATAATTTCTCCCCTTCTAGCAGAGTCCCAGGCATGGGTACTAACCATTGGGCTAACAGTTTTAAGGTGAATCCTCCTCCAGCAAAATTTTGAATGGGACCTGATATAGCAGTGGTCTCTGAGCAAGCTTAGAGTTTTGGGCCCTGCACATGGGTTTAGACAGATGATCACCTATCTTTTCCCAATTGCAGATCTAACTGGGACTTAGGCAGAAAATAGGCATCCTGACACTTGAAGTTAGGAAGAAATGTGCATTCCCAGAGGCAGAATCTTAGGTGGTGAGAGCGCTTGTACCCAGAATATGTTGGTACCGAGTTTAAACATCTACAGGATTTGGCAGGAGTTTTGTGGATCACAGTGGAGCCAAATCTAGCATGTGAAGATTAAACTTTATTATCTAAGTCTGTGGTGCTTAAGTATCATTGTTGATCTGGGCCTTAGTGCTTGATCCTATACCAGTGAAATCTTTGACAATGACTTCAATGAGTGTGGGAACAAAGCCTGAATCTCATGAAAACCAAATTCTGTGCTCAGGTACATTCATGTACTCCTACTAAAGACAAATGAATGGAACAGATATAGCCATAGGTTATAATTTGCTGCTCAGGGATTCACTCAATGTTACAAAAAATTGAGTAAAAGGAAAAAAAATCAGACATGGTATATTTTAGGTGAGTGTGGGTGGTGCTATAATAAACTTTTCACAAACAAGGAACCCATCAGATTGATGTTTATACTAAAATCATTACATTCTCCAGTGCTCAAGGACAAAAGGTGTTTTTCAGATGTTGTGCTGAATATAAACCAGAGGCTTTTATACATCATGCCTGTAGCAATTCAAGTTCTGTTCAAGCTGCAAGACATGCAAGAAAGAAAAACAGCTAATACTATCATGTTCCAACTTACATCTGGAGATTATATGGCACGCCAGCTATTTCAAACCGCTCAATTTCAAAATCCACTCCAATGGTTGCCTTGTAGTCTCGGTCAAAACTATCTTTACAAAACCTGTAATGAAGAAAATATCAGGAGAAAGCTAGGAGCATGATGGGATTTTTCTTTTAAATGCCCTATCATGTCTCAGTATTGTGCAAGGTGTGTTATAGAGGGAGGAGTTAAATGACCAATCTGATTAGCTTCTATGATGAGGTAACTGGCTTGGTGGACATGGGGAAGTCAGTGACTTTAGCAAGGCTTTTGATACAGTCTCCCACAATATTCTTGCCAGCAAGTTAAGGGATTGTGGATTGGATAAATGGATGGTAAGATGGATAGAAAGATGGCTAGAAGGCTGGGCCTAGCGGATAGTGATCAATGGCTCGATGTCAGGATGGCAGTCGGTTTCTAGCGGAGGGCCCCAAGGTTCGGTTCTAGGACCGGTTTTGTTCAATATCTTTATTAATGATCTGGATGAGGGGATGGATTGCACCCTCAGCAAGTTTGCGGATGACACTAAGCTGGGGGGAGAGGTAGATACGCTGGAGGGCAGAGATAGGGTCCAGAGTGACTTAGACAAATTGGAGGATTGGGCCACAAGAAATCTGATGAGGTTCAACAAGGACAAGTGTAGAGTCCTACACTTGGGACGGAAGAATCCCAAGCATAGTTACAGGCTGGGGACCAACCGGTTAAGTAGTAGTTCTGCAGAAAAGGACCTGGAGGTTACAGAGGATGAGAAGCTAGATATGAGTCAACAGTGTGCCCTTGTAGCCAAGAAGGCTAATGGCATATTAGGATGCATTAAGAGGAGCATTGCCAGCAGATCCAGAGATGTCATTATTCCCCTTTATTTGGCTTTGGTGAGGCCGCATCTGGAGTAGTGTCCAGTTCTGGGCCCCCCACTACAAAAAGGATGTGGACGCATTGGAGAGGGGCCAGCGGAGGGCAACCAAAATGATTAGGGGGCTGGAGCATATGACCTATGAGGAGCGGCTGAGGGAGTTGGGTCTGTTTAGTCTGCAGAAGCGAAGAGCGAGGGGGGATTTGATAGCAGCCTTCAACTTCCTGAAGGGAGGTTCCAAAGAGGATGGAGAGAGGCTGGTCTCAGTAGTGACAGATGGCAGAACAAGGAGCAATGGTCTCAAGTTGTGGTGGGAGAGGTCCAGGTTGGATACTAGGAAAAACTATTTCACTAGGAGGGTGGTGAAGCACTGGAATGGGTTACCTAGGGAAGTAGTGGAGTCTCCATCCCTAGAGGTGTTTAAGTCTCGGCTTGACAAAGCCCTGGCTGGGTTGATTTAGTTGGGATTGGTCCTGCCTAGAGCAGGGGGCTGGACTTGATGACCGTCTGAGGTCTCTTCCAGTTCTATGATTCTATGAGGGCATGTCTACACTAGGACGCTATTTTGAAAATAACTAAAATCGACATCATTTCAGATTTAACAAAATCAAAATAGGAAGTTCTCACTAAGAACAAAATTACTCAGAATTATTTTGAAATGGCGCATCCGCACGGATTGCAGCCTGCCTCGCACTTAGAGCCCCCGGAAGCGCTCTGCAGAGGGCGGACACTTCTTCTGGCTGCTTGGTCAGGACAGCTGCAACACGTGCTTTCAGAGCTCCTCTCTAGGGCTGCATCTCACAGGCCGCTCCTCCGCTGCCTTCCCCCTTGCGGGACACAAAATGGACGTGGTGTGCTCTGGTTGCCCTTGCACTCAAAGCATGAGCTAGAGCTGCTGCAGAGCACTGCTAGGCTGAGAGGATTCTTGCTGCGCCTCATGGCACAGTTCATCCACACCGCACACGTGCGACGAGGACCAGGACCTGCAGGGTGAGCCCCGGCCTGGACTGCAGGCCTGATTACCCAGGTCTGGTGGTCCTGCTGCAGCGCATGCGCCTCAATCCCCTGGACACTGTGGAACGCCGCTTCTGATGGCAGGAGACCAGTCTGGACTGGTGGGACTGCATTGTCCTTCAGTGATGGGACAACCCACGTGGCTGCAGAACTTCCACCACCTTCCTGGAGCTCTGTGAGTGGCTCGCCTCTGCCCCCAGCCACTAGAGGCACTAGGACACCTGCATGCGATCTGCCATCCCCATGCAGAAGCGTGGCACCATAGCACTTTGGAGGCTCGTCCCACCAGAGAGCTACCATTCAGCTGGGAACCAATTTGGCATGGGGAAATGCAGTCAAGATTGTGCTCATGCAGGTATCCAAGGCAATCAGCCAGGTGCTGCTATCGAGGGTCATCACTCTGGGGAACGTGGACACTGTCATGGATGGCTTTGCTGCCATGGGCTTCCTGAACTGTGGGGGAGGGGCGGGCATAGACAGTCCCACCAGAGAGCTACCATTCAGCTGGGAACCAATTTGGCATGGGGAAATGCAGTCAAGATTGTGCTCATGCAGGTATCCAAGGCAATCAGCCAGGTGCTGCTATCGAGGGTCATCACTCTGGGGAACGTGGACACTGTCATGGATGGCTTTGCTGCCATGGGCTTCCTGAACTGTGGGGGAGGGGCGGGCATAGACAGGACACACATCCCCATCCTGCTCCTGACCACCATGCCCTGGTCAGACTTCATGACAACAGGGCAGGGGGAGCGAGGTGACCAACTCCACTCTCAGGATGACATCCAGCTGCTCAGAGCAGCGGCAGCTGTGTGGTGCAACCCCAGAGAAAACACTCTTGGCCTTGTGGTAGGCTTGCCGGAGCTCTGTGATCTTCACGCAGACCTAGTCAAGTGACCAGCTGTGGCCTTTGTCAGCCGGGTTAGCGGCGATCTGGCCATAGAGGTCCACATTCTTCTTTCTGATGTGGAGATCCTGGAGGTTGGTCTCTCCCCCCAGACCTTGATGAGGTTCAGGAGCTCTGCTTAAGTCCAGGCCAGACCTCTCCTGCATCCCTGGCCAATGGCAGCCGAGGGAGCAGCAAGAGTGCTGGCAGCCACGGGGGGGGCCCACTGAGGTCTGTCATGGCCTGCCTTGCTGGCTGCTATGTCACATGGGACTTGCAAAGCTGGCTACATGAGAGAACCCCTTATACTACTGCCTGGAGTGTTAAGCTCTGTGGGAGAAGGGGAGCAGTGGAGATGCCAAGTGTGGCCAGTGTGGTCAGAACAGCAGCTATGAGAAGCCTCTGGAAACCAATTATTTTGAATTAGCAGCAGCGGAGCGTCCACACTAACACTATTTCAAAATAACTATTTTGAAATTAGCGTTCTTCCTTAAGGAAAGCAGGAGTACAGATTCTGAAATAACCAGCCCATTATATTTTGAAACAACAGGCTTGTTAGAGTGGATGCTCCACTTACAAATTTGACCTAAAGAGGGTTATTTTGAAATAACTCCATAGTGTAGACCAGGGCTAACTGTCCAGCCAAAGACTGGTATGCAGTCACATTGTAGTGAAAAAATATTTACCAAATCAATGAGAAACAAATTGGTAATAAAGAGGGTAGTTACTCTGAGTAAGGATAAAGTAAGTGAAACACAAAGGGAAAACTATAGAGGGCATCTCTAGGGCTATGTCTACACTGGCGTGATCTTGTGCCAGAGCTATGCAAATGAGGCTAAGCGTGGAATATCGCTGAGCCTCATTTGCATATCTAATGAGCCGCCATTTTGTGGAAAAGGCTCTTGCACAAGAAGGAGCTGTCTACACTGCTCCTTCTTGAACAAGAAAAACCGTCTTGCGCAATGCAGTTACGCTGATTGTTTTCAGGAATAACGGCATTGCGCAAGAGGGTTTTTCTAGCGCAAGAAGGGGCAGTGTAGACACTCCTTCTTGCGCAAGAGCCTCTTCTGAAAAAAAAAAGTTGGCTCATTAGGCGATATTCCACACTTAGCCTCATTTGCATATTACTCGCGCAAGAAGCCGCGAGTGTAGACATAGCCTATTTGTAGATGATCAAAGACATTAAAATGATGGAATACTGCATTTTGAGGGATATCCACTAGGTGGCAAATACAGATTAACATGGATCACATTAAATGGAGAAAAAAAATTAAATCATCCAAAATGGTGAGAAACCATCCATAATCTATGTCTTCAAAATACTGAGGAACTGACTGAAATTATGCACATACTAAGGAAACTACAAGGATAACAAGCTATTTAAATTCTATATTCTTATACTGTCATCACATGAAATGTGGGACAGGTTTTAGGAAGAATCGGTGAAATTAATGCTGTGAGGTCTTCATGCTTAACTGACTCAATTTATACCCAAAGGTGTGAGAGGAATCTCTGGGCTCCCCACAAACTCCTGCAGGAGTAGAAGTGTCCTGAACTGCTTTTACTGGAGTCAATGAATAAGCAAGATCTTTTAAAAATGTTTTAAAGATCAGTTCTCCAAATAAGACTGAGACTCTGAGGGCCATTCCACACATCAGATGGGTGTTTGAATTCTGATTATTTTTGAAGTCTTTAGAATACTTTCTCCAAAGGCAATGCTGAAAGCCGCATTTCTTGAATCATTTAAAAATAGACTGGTCAAATAATTTGAGCATGTACCAGAAGGAATAATCATGCACTGCCAGGAAGGACTGATCAAGGTGCTGGTTTTCTGGTCTCTGGTTTTCCTTCAGTATCATCTTGAGATTGACAATAGAGGGTACTTTCATCAGCAAAGAGTTGAATAAAAACACTTAACTTTTAATTATTGATTTAATAGAGAACAGAAAAGCAATGAGGCAATCATCCTGAAAACATAGATGGCAAAAGGAACAGAGACCAAAATGCAGAGGAATTGTTACACATTTAAACAGCAATCCCCATCTGCTGAGATATACTGTACCTGTTGATGAGGCTGGTTTTCCCAACATAGAGGTCTCCTACCACAACCACTTTGGATATTTTCAGCCTGTAACAAGCATTTTGTTATTGTTCAATACTGTTAATACTAGGACAGGGCTACCCTAAGCCTCAGTCTACATAACTTACATCATCCAAGAATATGAAAAAACCCTGCTTCCCCCACCCCACAATGATGTGAGTTTTTCACTGCATCAGAGGGGTAGCTGTGTTAGTCTGAATCTGCAAAAGCGACGAAAAGTCCTGTTAAAACAAAAGGAAAAATTATGTAGCACTTTAAAGACTAACAAGATGGTTTAGTAGGTGATGAGCTTTCACCTAAAACCATCTTGTTAGTCTTTAAAGTGCTACATATTTTTTCCTTTTGTTTTATCAAGATCAGTCTAACGCAGCTCCCCCTCTATTACTATTCAACATGGAAAAGTCCTGTGGCACCTTATAGACTAACAGATTTATTGGAGCATAAGCTTTCGTGGGCAAAGACCCACTTCGTCAGATGCACGTAGTGGAAATTCCAGAGGCAGGTTTATAAGGTACCACAGGACTTTTTGTCACTTTTGCGAGTTTTTCACTGTTCACACTGGTGCTGTATCAGTGGGAGATGCTCTCCCATCAACATAATGTCTGCTTATCACCAAAGTAGAGTAATGATGCTGACTGGGAAGCACTCTCCCATTGGTACAGCATGTCTTCTCCAGAGGTGCTGCAGCTGTGCCAATGTAGTGCTGACTTATTCTTAGTTTCAATATTCTTACCACATATTGGTGATTTAAGCTCCTATCCAGTAAGTTGTAAGGCACATGTAAATCAGAAGCAGGGTTGAACCTATGACCTCAGAGGCTGAAGCTATGAGCTTCTATCACATGAGCTAAAAGCCAACTGGCTCTTAGCTAAGGCTCTAAAGCAGACTTTACTCTTCCCTCTCAGGCTGTGTCCAGACTCAGGGTTTTTTTCGGGAAAAGTAGCCTTTTTCCGAAAAAACTTCCCCTGCGTCCAGACTCAAGCCGTGTTCTTTCGAAATTAAATCGAAAGAATGCGGCTTTTCTTTCGATGGCGGTAAACCTCATTTCACAAGGAAGAACGCCTTCTTTCGAAAGTTCCTCTTTCGAAAGAAGGCGTTCTTCAATGTAAATAGGGCATCTTCGAAAGAGAGCATCCAGACTCACTGGATGCTTTCTTTCGAAAAAGCAAGCCGCTTTTTCGAAAGTTCAACGTGCAGTCTAGACGCTCTCTTTCGAAAGAGGCAGTCTAGACATAGCCTCAGTGCCTCTGGGTTACACACAGGCAGAGGGGTGTACCTCAGAACGTGGGCCTTTGCAAGGGTACACCCTACCAGCATAATCAAATAAGTACCAGAGCCTGTATTTGCAATTAGTAAAAGGAGAAAGGAGGAGACTGATTTGCAAAAAGGACTTTATAGTATAAACAGAGATAAACAATCTGTTTTGTATGTTGTGCAGTTTTTTTTAGCTTGTAAATTCTTTAAGGCAGAGACTCTTTCCTACTATGAATGCTTGTATTGTATGTTTATGTGAGTATATGCAGGTGTGAGCATTTGCATGCAAAGGTATGCAAGAATCTTTTGAGAGCATGTGGAAATGCACAGGTTCAATCCTGCTGCCACTAAAATCAACAGCAAGACTCACTGACTTGAATGGCACAAGTTCAAGCCCCTTGGGGGACCTGAACAATAAAATATCTAATAATGACTAATCTACTGTCAGATTTATCTCAGGAGACCACACAGAGTTTAGTGCCAAAAGATTTCCTGGCTATTTGTAATAGTATTAATCGGAGTCTGGCTTCAAATAATACTCTTTGCTTTGGATCCTCTCACAGGAAGCAGAAGATGAGTTTTAAGTGACTCAAGTTGCATTCTTGAAAATGCAATTTAGTGTGTCTTTAAGATGCTGCAGATGGCTAGGTAACTTTGATTATATTTGATGAACTAACCTCTGGGGTTATGTCTAGACTGCAGGCTTTTTGCACAAGAAGCTTTTGTTGGAAGAGATCTTTTGCGATATGCTTTTGCAAAAGAGATCATCCAGACTGCCTGGATGCTCTCTTGCAAGTAAGCAGTGATTGTTATGGACAGAATGGCCACCAGGGCATCTGTGCTTTTTACTCTTCCCTATTCTTGCGCAAAAAAACCCTTTTCCCCATCCACACACGCATTTTTGCACAAGAGCTCTTGCGCAAAAAGGCATTCTTCCTCGTAGAATGAAGATTACCAGTTGCGCAAAACCCCCTCTGATCTTTCGATTTACTTGTGCAAAAATGTGCTTGAGGTGTGGACGCTCCGCGAGTTTTTGTGGAAAAACAGCTGTTTTTCTGCAAAAACTCTGTAGTATAGACATAGCCTGAATACCTCAGAGTGGTAGGCATGTTAGTCTGTTACTGAAAAAAACCCTTAAAAAACAACGAATACTCTTGGGCTGTGTCTACACTGGGCCACTTATTCCGGAAAATCAGCCGCTTTTCCGGAATAAGCTGCGAGCTGTCTACACTGGCCCTTGAATTTCCAGAAAAGCAATGACGCTCTACTGTACAAAATCAGCCGCTATTCCGGAAAAGCTACGCTGCTCCCGCTCGGGCATAAGTCCTTATTCTGGAACACTGTTCCGGAAAAGGGCCAGTGTAGACAGCCCAGTAGTCTTTTCCGGAAAAAAGCCCCGATCGCGAAAATGATGATCGGGGCTCTTTTCCGGAAAAGTGCGTCTACATTGGCCACAGATGCTTTTCCGGAAAAAGGGCTTTTCCGGAAAAGCAGCCTGCCAATGTAGACGCTCTTTTTCCGGAAATACTTATAACGAAAACTATTCTGTTTTAAGCATTTCCGGAAATTCATGCCAGTGTAGACACAGCCTTGCAGTATCTTAGAGACTAACAAAACATGTAACTGCTTTCATGAGCTTTTGTGGGCACAACCAATTTCTTCAGATGAATGGAGCAAGTTTTTTGTTAGTCTCTAAGGTGCTGCAGGACCATTCATTATTTTTTAACCTCTTAATGATAATTCAGTGTCTGTCTGTATGCTACCGAAATACAATGGTTGACTTACGACCACTTGCAGTTATGACCAAAGGTGTTGTAAATGGTGGACCCCAAGTTACGAACGCGATCTGCGCTTATGAACAGCGTGGTCACGTGTAACTCAATGGAGTCCGACTCACGAATGGACCGAGTTACGACCAATTGCTTGGTCTGTAGCCAGTTCATAAGTCGGGAAGAGGCTGTAACAGATTTAATAGTGCTATACTAACTTTTAATAATAGAAAGTTTTACTTAACAATATATGAGATTATATCATGTTTCCATGGAATTCTGATGCCTGATTATTAACTGCTGATGATATGATATTTGATTAAATTAAAGGCAAAAGGAATCAAGAGAAGGATATAACTGTTTGAGTACGTGACTTCCATTAACTCCTACTCTGGGGCTCAGAGACTGATGGACCTAATATGATCTACCAGCCATTGAATTACTCACACTGTCTTGTTTCAGGCAAGGAGAAATATTACACAATACTAAAAATAATAGGAAAGGAAGACAACTGTTCATGACAAGTAGTGCTCTTGTTTTCCATGTGTTGGGTCAAACCATCAGTTGCCTGTCAAGAAGCAGTGTACCAATGGTCCCATCTAGTGACCATTGAAAAGAGAGCCAAATTTTCAGTTTTATTAAGGAGCCAAAGTAGAAACCCTTTTTTCCATTCACTGGGGCTACATTAAATAAAAAGGGAGTTGCTGTACTTCTTGTAAAAACAATAATATCTGGTTTACATGTTAAAAGAATATTTCTGTTCACTAAATAATATTTTGCCAGCATGCTAAAGATCCAGAAAATGGCCCTGGTATCTGCAACAGATGTACAGCAAAGAAAAACTAACAATACGGGGCCATGCTATGCACTTATATCCCAAAGCAAGACTCCTCAATAAGATGAATGAGGAGTTCTGCTGAAAAATGAATATAGCTCAAGAAAATTAATAAGCTTTGTCTTTAAGGGTGTGTCTAGACTATAGGGTTTTGTTGACAAAAGTGGACTTTTCTTGACAAAACTATACCTGCGTCTACACTGCCACTGAGGTCTGCTGACATAACATCGACAGAACTCAGCAGTTTTGTCGACAGCGGTAAACCTCATTCTACAAGGAATAACACCTTTTGTCAACAGAGTTCTGTCGACAGAAGGTGTTATTGCATCTACACTGTCCTTTGCGTCCACACTGTCATGTCAACAAAGCGGCTTGCTTTGTTGACAGAACTGAATGTAGTCTAGACACTCTTTGTCAACAGAAGCTTTGTTGATAGTATCTGTCAACAATAATTCTGTCGACAAAATCCTGTAGTCTAGACTTACCCTAAGAATAGTGAACTTCATTATGACTACTCAACGTATAATATCCTTTAGAAAGAGATTTTCACAGTGGAACAAATCCCCCATAAATATTCTCTTTTTATCAGAGACAAACTTTGCCAGTAACGGTCTCAATTTTATTTTTAAACTATGTATTGCAGCTGAATAAGGATGATCTCCCTCATAGCTTAGCTCTCTGCTTTGTCTCAGCAATGAAATCATAAGGCTGAGTTTGTGAAATTTAACATTACAAAGAGCATATAAAAGGAAAGCCGGCTCTGGGACAGATGACATAAAAGCAGCATTATGAAAGGCACAAGAAAATTGATTTGCATTTCTCAGCATAATATATTATTCTTCTCTAGAATGATGCTTCAGCTCTAAGGGGAAGGTATAAAACATCTGTTTCCCTGGCATAGTTTTAAAGAAAGAGTTACAGCTAGATTTTTAGATAACTCCATTTACTGAAAATAAGTCACTTCACATTTACATCAGTGTAAATGAAAGCAGAATTTGGTCCAAAGATTTGTATTATTTATTATCATTTACTGGTTTCTGATACTCACAACTGGCATCAACTGAGAGGAGGACAGCAAGGCTGCACCCTATTTCCTAGTTTTGAACTTTGTTGTCCCTCTGGTGTGGACAGAATGAACAAACTCCCACACCTATTTTACTTATGGTTAACCCAAGTTGTTAAACCTGACTGGTCCTGTCTACACACCAGGAAAAGTGACTTTAACACCAATTTGTGGGAAGCAGAGGGAACATCACTGAAGAACTATTATCAAACATAGCTAAGGATTCCCTTAGGGTATGTCTACACTACCACCCTAGTTCGAACTAGGGTGGTAATGTGGGCAATCGGAGTTGCAAATGAAGCCCGGGATTTGAATTTCCCAGGCTTCATTTGCATGTTGCCAGGCGCCGCCATTTTTAAATGTCCGCTAGTTCGGACTCCGTGCCCGCGGCTACATGCGGCACGAACTAGGAGTACAGGTAGTTCGGAATAGGAAGCCTATTCCGAACTACCTGGTCCGTGCCGCGTGTAGCTGTGGGCACGGAGTCCGAACTAGCGGACATTTAAAAATGGCGGCGCCTGGCAAAATGCAAATGAAGCCCGGGAAATTCAAATCCCAGTCTTCATTTGCAATTCTGGTTGCCTACATTAACCACCCTAGTTCAAACTAGGGTGGTAGTGTAGACATACCCTTACAGACACAACTTCACTGGCTTAAAATACAAGAAGGTGGGTGTGAAGTGAGGATAAGACACTGAGGAAAGCTGGTTTAAGTAAGAACTTGAAATAATTTTTAAAATGTAAAGGCCTATTTATTACAGAGGCTCACCCAACTGTTCCAGTATTGCGTTGCTGACAGGCACTCCTGACCTGTGCATGGAAGTGGTCTTTGAACTGGAGACAGGCTTCTGGTGTGTACCACTGCAGATAATAAAGAATAGTAATTTAGATATATTGTATGATGATGTCTAACATATAAGGAGTTCAGCCAACTGGAAACAGATTAACAAGGTGATGAATTTGTAGCCCTCAAAAAAGATAGACAGGAAACAAGAGTTCCTTGGATTAACAGACAGTGAGGTTACACAGTATGTGGGTTTCTCTTTACATTAAAATTAAACTGGAATAAAAGAAGGTGTGAATTTAAAGTGAATTAACTATTCCAGGCTGAAAGCATCTACATGAAATTAATCAAATAACTGTGTGTGTAGACTGGCATCTTCTCCATCACTTTTATCACTTTGAATATAAGCTTTCTTCGCCATGTAAATCGCTAGATAAACTCCACCAGATACAGGCAGTCCCTGGGTTACGTACAAGATAGGGACTGTAGGTTTGTTCTTAAGTTGAATTTGTATGTAAGTCGGAACTGGTACATATTGTAGGGGAAACTCTAGCCAAACATTTCTCGAGGTCAGTTTTATTCTCCCACACCTCACTTCCCTCAGTCCTTTATTCTCAAGCTGATGTGTCTGCTGAGAAAAGCCGCTCCACATCTCCCTGGTCTGCTCAGGAGGGGCGCTAGCTTCGCGTCTCCCTGGTCTGCTGGGGGGAAACAGCTAGTGCAGGGTTGCCTCACCCCATTTGTAAGTAGGGATCCGATGTAAGTCGGATCCATGTAACCCGGGGACTGCCTGTATAAGCTATCCCTGTAGTTTTTGCCTGGCATTAAAGATTCAGGAACTTTAATTTTCCCCAGAAAATGGAAATAATTCACTGCTTTGGCCATGGTATCCACCAGATCATTCTTACTATACTGTCTTTTATACCTCATCTTGTGCTAGTGAGCTTTTTCTGTTATAACGAATTTCTAGTAAAGAAGGATTGGTTTGCCCCCCCCCATTTCCATAACCCTCCCTGTAAGTTTCTGCTATTTTATAAATTCAGTCATAGTATCATGAATTTAATTTCCCCTAGCCTCTGTTTGCCATCAGCTGGGGATGGGTGACAGTGGATGAATCTTTTGATGATTACTTACTCTGTTCATTCCCACTGAAGCATCTGGCATTGGCTACTGTCAGAAGACAGGATGTTGAACTAGAATGGAACATTGGTCTGACCCAGTGAGGTTGATCTTATGTTCTTAGTTACAAGATACATGCTTTTACTGTTGCGTAATTTAGGCAGTTGTTAGGCAATGTTTTACAGCTCTTTCTCTAGAGGGAATTATGCATGTGAAAAAATTTAAAATTGTGTATTTTTCTTCAATAATTAATTTCTGCATTTACAAAAATAACAACAAAAAATAAAGTTATGTAAATGAAAAAAAACGAACTGCCTCCGAAATCAGGGGGAGGGAGAAGGCACTACTTAGCCTGCCAAGTGCCAAACTGTGGGAACATGGAGGAGAAGCTTCTTACCTTGGGGAAGTGGGAAATTATTCTGTCCCTGCTCACAGGGGGAACCAAATGCATGAGGCTGGACTTCATCTTCCAAATTCAGTCTGTCTCTGTTAGACATGAAACCTGTAAAGGAGGCTGTCAGTGATCATGAATCTTCTCAGCAGACCCCAAACATGAATGAAAAAAATAAATTACCATTCCTTATGTATACTGCCTCTTTGCTTTCCTGGTACATATATCAGGCAGTTGGAAGCCCACTGCTTGTAGAACTTTGATTTCACTTTGTAATACATGCCCTATTTATGAACTCTTTTGTTATGTTGTTGTAGCAGCAATGACTGGCTTTCTGAGGTTACAATGCAGCCAAATCTCATTTCAGGAAAACAAGAGAGACTCCACCATGGAGGATGAATTTTACAGTTTCTCCATCTGATAAATAATTTTGTAACGTGTTTCAACACAACACTTAAAAATCTCTCATCATGATTTGAACTCTGTCTCATGCCTCTTCCAAATGCATTATAAATCCTTCATGACATCTTATTTCATCCAACTGGTGGGAGGCAGAAGGATAATGAAGTTGACACTTTTCTTGATGCTGAACAAAACTATCATTCAAAACCAGCTCAGACAACAACGTGACTTGGAAGAAAGGTAATGTTCATATGAATCATGCATATATTAAGACATTCCAGTCACCCGAATCACCTAGAGACTGACTCCAAACTCACTAATTTTGCTACACAATGCAGCTTTTGGGAATGTGGAAAAAAGCCCTTTATTAGTAGGGTAATTATCTGCTATATCATTTACAATAAAGATATTTATAATGAGAAAACTGATCACGTAGCAAAGTGCAAAGAAGGACTCACCATGCAGCAGCTGATGCAGCAGGTTCTCAGCTACACAAGGAGCTCCGCCTGCTACTGCGTGACCATAGCAACTGATTTGAAACATTCCACCCCCCAACCACATTTGAAGGTGGAGCTGGAATACGGGATAACTTAACTACACAGGAATATTGCAGATCTGTCTAACACAGAGAAGTTTTAAAGGGCTGAACTTATGGATGTCAGATGCTATTGGGGTTCCTACTCCCGCCCCCTCTCCAAAAATCCATTTAATATAAAGTTCTCAGATAGAGAACATATCAGATATTAAACTGATAAGAACAGATGCTGTTGGTTAGTAAACACAATGGGCCCCTGATACTGCATTGAGGAAATAGTGCTACTGAATTCTGTTTGTGGTGAGCCTGAGTAAGGACTGGTAGGATCAGCCCCTTAGGTAAGGGCCTAGAAAACCAGTAATACATTAAGATACTAATGGTGGAATCTTTGAGAAAATGCAATGAAACCTGGAGGAATTTTCAGAATTTCAGCTAAACGGACTTCCACCCAACTTCAAAATCAGGGTGCATGGTTCACCAGGAAACTACTTTAAGAGTTCTTTTTATACAAAGGATTGTTTGGTCTATCAAGCCTTTAAGTGATCTCTCCACCTAACTTCCTGGGAACAAGAGACAGGTGTCAAGGAATCAAATACAGATCTGTGCAGTAGGACCACTTGGCTGCCTATTTATTACTACATTATGCAGACTGTCCTTCCCTTTACTCCAAGCTTATGGATTAATTTTAATCGTGTATAGGGATTTTGCCATCTGTTTCAATGAGATTTAAAAATCTAATATAGAAAAGAGAATGATTGTATGCTTGTGCTATAATAACTTGGACACTATAAGAGCGACCGCAACCAAACTTTGCATGGGGTAACCTTTCCTCCAGGAGAAGGTTTTAAGGGAGGGAAGAGATGAGAGATCGACGCCTGTCCCCGGGGCTGCACGGAGCTTGGCAGTGCGGGGAGAAGTGGCTTCTCCACCATTGCTGGAAGCATATGGAGGTCCCTCTTCAATACTGCGATTGGCTCAGGGTCCAGTGGCCAACCAATGGGCGGGCGGGGTGCTGCCGGGGCTCGCTCTAGTCGTGGGGGCGGGGCTGGTGTTACTGCTCAGCTGCCACTTTGAAAAAATGTCTGGAAGGAGGTGCATTAGGGATCTGGAAGTGAGAGCGGGGGGGGCCAAGTCAAATAGCTCTGATTCTCAACATTGCAATGCCTCTTCTTTGAGTCCGAGATTTTGCTTTATGCAGCAGTAGAAAAGCACGGGGGTCTGCCATAATGGCCAGATGTCAGGCACTGGCAGCGT